TTACCCAAAATGTAAACAGACACACAAGTCTACTAGTTACACACGGTGAGAGGCAGATGATGTGTTTCTCAGCTCCTCTTCATAGCCTCATAACTTTGCATGTGAGTCGGTGTGAGTGAGGTGGAATTGGAAGAGCAGATCTATATAGATTGTTTAATTTGACGTGCGGGTGAGTTCATGGACCTCAGAGGGTTAATAGAAAGCTGATTGTTATTCAAAATGACAAAGAGCCAATAAAAAAATGATATAGAATGAGGCAGTAAAATACAGCAGGGTGTGTTCTTTTCCATAACCCCAATTTGAACCATGGCTCAGCCCAGATCACAGCTTCTAGAATGATTTAATTACATCTCTTCCTATATTGACATGACGCTAGATCATGTATAATCTTATGGAACTGTTTAGCAGGCAATAAGCGTTCATGCTTTTGTAACAAACTGAATGCAAAACACCACCAAGCACCACTTTGTCCCCAGAAAATCTTAGAATACATATGTATTTGAATTGCAGCCATCTTGGTCTGGGTACTACAAAATTTCCAACCTCCATTTATCTTCATTAATCAGGTATGATGATAAAGTGGCCAACCAATTACACTGACCCCTAAAGCTCTTTTGTGTATCCACATAAGACTTATTATTTAGTAATTACATGGGAAACAGGGCAGCATGATTGAGTTATTATTAAGCTATAGATGTGAAGAACAGAAATGTGGACCTGCTGGTGAGTGTGTGAATGTCAAGAGGTTAACTGTTCAATTCATTACCAGAGATTACAAGTTCCAGATTTGAATACCTATGCTTTACAATAATCAGTGTGTTATGGGCAAATATTATTTCTGCTCTAGGCAACAGACCTGCTTATCTCCTGCATGAAACAGGGATGAGCTGCACAGGAGGGTTCCAGCAATTCTTGGGAGGAGATATTGGATCTATTATGTTGTATTCACATAGAGATTTACTTACTGGGGTGTGTGTGTGTGTGTGTGTGCGCATGTCTAGCAGCGTCCGTTCATCAACCCTAACTGCTTCTCCCTCATTTAGCCTATAACACAGCATGGTGTTAGAAAGCTTCACTGTAGCTCCATATGACGCCTGAGCAGAGCAGGACTCAGATCCTGAATGCATGGTTATGATTAAGAGTGACTCAGTGAATCTGGCACATTAACCGTGGCCTTGAATAGAGATTTCTCATACAGAGCTCCTCTCTGCTTTCTCTCTAATAAGCTAGCACCATTCCCATGCCTGCTGCAATAATCACTCGTCCTTGTGTGTGAGATTAATACACTCCATGTGAAGGGACTGCAGGCAATTTCTGCTGTGCGGTAGTTGCTTTTAGTTGCCTTTACACAGCTAGTAAGTGGAAAACGTTGTAATGCTTCATGATGCATCTGCAAAGCCTGTAAGTGCTCAAATTAACCGTTATAGCACAAGATATCAGATAAGTCAGACGGAAGGCTGATTTCTGCTGGCCAGATAAGCACGTTTTACATCAATCAAGAATAAATGGTGATGTTATGACAACATTTTTATTTGATTAGAGTGTTTACTTCATGTACGTGTGTTGTATTCATACACAGAAAAGACCATACAAATGAGGCAAAGTGGTATAACAAATTTACTTATGTTTGCAGTAAACAGAGCAATATGTGTGACTCTTTTCATTTCTTTATGCTAAAAGTAGAACACATCTTTCAGAAATATTGTTTTCATGCAAATACATCTGCATGTGAAGTGACTAAGGGTGATTTCTGCTGTCCCTTCTGTGCAGCTAGTAAATGGAAAACCTTTTTCATCAAGCATAAACAAAGCTGATAAGCACTCATATGATGAGTTGTTCCACCAGATATCGAATTAGTCAGATAGAGGCCTGAGGGCCAGATGGAAACATTTTGTGTAGAATAAATGACAATGTATTATCTTGGGTGGTCAAACAATTTAAATAATCAATCATAAGTAATCACATTATTTTGTGTCATTAATCCTCATTAATCGCCTTTGTCTTGTTTGCTCAAATGGGATAATAAAGATTTTTCCATTTAAAAAGCATTGCTTTTTTTTTATTGCTATATAAGTAGACTCAAAATTAACACAGTTAACAGTAATACATGAAGTGAGAGCACTGGTTACATGTAATGGTTCTAGACTCTTGTTCTCTTTCTTACAGCTTGTGGGTTTGAAGTCGAAGATCTGGAGGGGAACAGTAGCTTTCCAATTTACTATTGCTATTTGTATGTGTATTTGAAAGAGAGGGCTCCAACCACAGATTATATCATAGCAACGCTGTGCTTGTACAGCTGGGCTTGAATGGATAGAATAGAATATCAAACTGGGAAAATGCATTAGGACTGTTAAAATTAAAGCAGTAAATGATTTGGGCTGTGAATGTTTTAATATGTTAATAACATGCTAATAATGCTGTAATAATGCATTAACTAATAACGAGTTTACTTCGCCAGTCCTAATGGTATCCGAACTTTTTTTGTTTTGCATTATGTGTGTTTTCACCCACTCAACAACAAATGAACTGCATTTTTACTGTAAGCATGAACTGTAAAACTATATGTTTTAACTTTTGATTAACTGGCCTAACATTTTTGAGTTAATTTGACTTGTTTTAGTAAGTTAGCAGAACTCCACTCTGTGTTTTACATTTGCTTAACTCATTATTTAAAGTTTATTTAAGCAATAGAACACGAGAGGGAGTGTGTTATCGTGAAATAACATCACGGCTGTGATTTGGCCGTAGATAATCACAGCCGTGATGTTATTCACGATAACACACGACCGCGAGAGTTCTATTGCTTTTATACAACAGTTAAATAAATAAAGTAAGGAATTAATAAATTGGACCACGAACGTGGCGTTTAATATGTTTTAATGTCAGCAGTTCCTTCCGCCAAATTATAGTTCCTTAACAAGCAGCTTGTTGCTACGTCAGAGCAACAAACTCCGCTCACTCGCTGCACAGCCAGCGGTTCATTCTCCAGCTCAGTTCTGTAGTTTCATCTTCAGAGTCTGACCAAATCGGACTGAGCCATAAAACCTCCACAATATCAAGTTTAGCTTAGTTTTGTCAATTTTTGCCAGATCAATATTAATGTTGTTTTGTTCCAATGAGTCTGTAAAGCATCTTACAGCCCATTTTGTTTGGTGAATGGTATTCGGTTCATTTCTGGCTGATTCCAGGTTGTTTAGGTGTTCCTCTGTCACAACTGCTGACTGAAAAGCTTGCTCAAACGGTAATGAATGTTTCAGGATTTAGTGCAGTCTCATCTTCAGAGTCTGACCAAATCGGCTTTAGGTCAAATGTAGTCTTAAAAGTGTCCATTTTCTGTTTGTGCGCAAAGTTAGAAGTGAAAACTTTCAAATGGCTTGAGTGTCTCCTACAGCTGTCAAAGTGATACAGTGTTTGTGAAAAAACCGTGTTGTTATGACGAAATAACAGCATGGTTAGAATGCTTCTCAACCAATCAGCTTGCGTGGCCGAACTAACTGTTGTATAATACTCACATAACTCAAACTTTTAAGGCAGTCGGGTTACTGACGTTAATACATTGAATTATCTTTTACAGTGTAGATGCTTGTAGGCTCCTCTGTGGTCCAGCTTGGCTGGAAGCATCACCCTAGTAATTTCATATTGCCCATGTTTACCTTCTTTGCAGCCATATTCTCCACCAGAACCATTTGCAGGGCCTCTGGATGTCTAATTAAAGGCACCTGGAGCACTGCGTAGCTGTGACTTTTGTATCACCCAGAAACAGTCTATACATATCCCTGATGCCGAACAATCATGGTCTCATACAATATCCATGTGCTCATGACATCAGCAGCACTTGCTAAATCAGGCGCTTTCCCTGCTGCTGTTCCCCGCACCAGTGTGTGTTTCATATTTAATGTGATGTGGAACGTCCTTTTTACCTCTGGGCAAACAGGAAACAGTGGTCCAGTGGACATGATGACTTGGAGCTATCCTCCATATCAGCTCACACCGACCAGAGCAAAGCTTGGACAAATTACAGGCCAGACGGGGGAGGCGTGCTGGGGCGTGAGAGTGGGCCTGGGCCTGAGCGCGGAAATAATGACCTGAAACCACACTCGGGTGATAGGACGAGGCTAAAACGGGCAGACTGCATTTGCTGCCTCAGTGAGGGTCTATTTTTTTTTCCTTTACGGTTGTTGGGTGCAATCCAAGAGCAAGGAATGAGGCTAAAAATCTTAAACTTGGACCTAAAAAAACACTGACCCAGCTCTGGAAATAGCCGAGTATTTTCTTTTGAAAGCCTGCATATAGACAGAGAGAGACTGAGTGAATGCATTGTGTTTTGCTGTGCAGTTGGGTAAATGGGATACAGAGAGTTCAGTGCCAGAATAGAAACCCTACAGCCATGCTTTCAGTCCAAAACAGACAAGAACTCCCTTCCGACTGAAACAAACCAGCTTTGTCCTGAAATGCTTCCCTGCCCCTCTCTCTCTCCTTTCTTTCCATTCGATTTACTCCTTCTCTCTCCCTCTCTCCCTCTCTCCTTCTCTCTCTCTCTCTCTCTTTCTCTCTCTCTCAAGTTTGCTTTCTTGACATGACAAAATTGTCATTGCAAAGCATTGCAACAATTATCTATAATATATATATATATATATATATATATATATATATATATATATATATATATATATATTCAAATATATATCTCATTCACTCTCTGCCTGTCTTTAACTCTGTCTGTCTCTCTCTCTCTTTCTCACCTCTTTGTAGGGCAGCAGGTGCCCTTTGAAAGCATGTAGTGGAAATGCAGTGTGTCTTTTTGATTGATGATTGACAGTTACTGATGATTTACGTTAGTTCTGTCAGCAGACGTCTCACAGTGTAGATCAACTGGGAGGACACTTCATAATCACCGCAGACACAGACCCCCACTCAGAGAGAGTTCTCCATTCTCCTTCACCGTGTCATCAGTATGTGTCATGTGAGTGTGTATTAGCAGTTGTTTGTGTCTTTTTCAGATGAACTGTTACTACCATGGCGAGGTGAAGGGCTACCCACACTCTGACGTCATTCTCAGCACCTGCTCAGGACTCAGGTGAGTTACCATAGTGACTGCATCAGTGGACGGGACTGTAATAAGTGTATTTTAATTATGTGGTATAATTGTGGCAGCGCTGGCATTGATTACCCAAGATAGACGACTATATTAGAATTAACAGGGAATCCATCAGTGTAAAACCGATGTTGATATGATGCTGTGATATTATTTGTAGTGCTGTTAGTGTAGCTGCTGAAATGCATATAAGCACAGAGGACATGATTGTACAACCTGACTGTTATGACTGTTTGGTTTAATTGCATTTTAAAGCAGAAACTTTATTGTGTACTTGCAACAAAAAAGGCAAAAAGGGTGTATAACTATCAAGTACAACTACCTGTCAGATTATATAAATGGAAATAACAATAATAATAGAGAAAAAGAAAAAAGCAAACAAAAAACTAAAAGCAAGCAGTCTTGATATGCACACATGCACTAATGAGTTTCCCAAACCAATGCTTTCATATTACCTATTTCACTGAATTGCACGTCTGATTCAAGGATTCACTGACTCACAAAAACAAGTCAGCTTTATTCTCATCTAATGCAGTCATGAACTCAGAATGTGAAGAACATTTTCTTGTTGCAATGCTTATAATTACTCCTGATGCAGCTGCAATGATAGTAAAAGAAAAAAAAATTGAATCACTGGTTAAGAATAGATTTTAAATAGGTCTTGTTTGTGTATGTGTACCAAAGAAACTTGACTAATGATCTAATGATAACGCACATAAGTCAGAGATGATATGGGAAAAAAAGAGTATCAGTGCATTTCCTAGTTTGACCATTCAGACTGGCCATAGCTCCAGCCTAAAGCCCAGGTGCTCATGCACTATATGTTGCTATGACTCTGCAGCTGTTGCCCCTCATTCAACTACAGCTTTTAAAAGTTGCATTGATGGCTGTCTTGATAAAATCAAAGTTATTTCCAGCTACAGCAATGCTGTGAATTTGTTTGTCACTGAAGTACACAGAGTCTGAAGTATCATTTTCAAGAAAAAAAATACACAGCTGATGCTGGCAATGTTTTAGAATTTGGCAGACCTCACTAAAAACCAACGGAAAAATCAATGAGTGGCAAACTAACCAAAACAACAGCAAAGAGGAAAACTTTGGTTCCACTTGCAACAAGACATAATGTAGCAGTATAACAGTGAGAAGCTACAATTGCATTGGACTTAACCTGTTGCTGTCACTAGACTTTAACAGTTTAAATTGGAAACTTGTTCACTCTATAGAAATCACATCATTTTCATATGAGTTCATGTGACCACTGAGTTCAAAATAATGTTATTGCATTATTGAAAGTATTAAATGGGAAAATCTTTCTTTAAGATCAAATCTGAGCAAATTAGACAAGTGCAATAAATTGTGATTAACTACACAAAAGAATGTGATTAATCATGGTTAATTATTTTAATCGCTTGACTGCCCTAATTCTGATTTTACTTCAGTAAATTGAATTGTATTGCAGAATCAAATTGCTGTTTAGTTTATCAAATAATTCTTAATTTACAAAAAAGGACGTAAAGATTGTGTGGAAGATACAAAAAATGGTTTCAGTTGGACTTTTGATTTGTTTCAAGTGATGTATTTAAAAGGGCTGATTTGAGTCAGACATTGTTAACATACAGGCACTGTAGCTTGTCATGGCAGAGTAATTACTATGATAATTCTGCTGGACAGTATCAGGAATGTCTTAAACGTTGGCCAGCAAATGTCTCCTGTCTCTCAGGAGTGATACTGCTTATTGCTTAAAGCTCTTTATTTGGGCCTGCAGCTGCAACCTGTCTTCCAGACATCTAACCTGTCTCAGACCCCGCAGTATGTCTCCGGGCTCTGCAGTACACACACTCGCACGCTCACACACTCAGAGCTGTGTTTCTTGGCGCTCAGGCCAAAACAAATTAGTGCTGATTTTGGTTGGCAGAGTTGGTGCGAGTGGGGTTTGTGTGGACGTTTATGTGGTCTGCAGCACAGTGTGGGCTTGTTGAGAAAGCCCGGAGTTTGGCCGTCCCTTTATGGAGGAAGATGTCACTTTAAATCAATGTGCAACTTTAAAGTGTGAGAAAAGCTCGCTGAAACGCGGCCCATAACCACTAAACATCAGTATTAGGACTGCGTAAGTAGTGTTGTTTCAGTAAAATATCCACAAAATTGATGCCGTGTTGACCAACAGTGGCTTGGATGTTGAAATAACCCAGTTTCCAGAACTTTTTTCAAGCTGTCTTAGCTTGTGGGAAAGCGGAAAGACCACTTCCCCTCCGAGAGGATTAGACTGCACTATTTACAGTCTAGCCACTTTGTTAGCTGAGTTTTTTTTTGCCTTTCTTTCTCAATATTGGCTTCTTTAACTATTTTGTGTTTCTCCTCCTCTCTCACTCTCCCTCTCTCTCTTTTTCTCTCTTTCCCCTTCTCTTGATCTTTGCTTCTCCTTCTTTCTCTTTCTTTCCCTTTTTCTCTATCTTTGTCTCTCTCTTTCTTTTTCTCTCTCTCTCTCTTTTTCTCTCCCTCTCACTCCCTTCCTCTCATTTTCTTTCCCTCTCACCTTTCTCTCTTTCTCCCTTTTTCTATCTCTTTTTCCCACCTCTCTATTTCTCTTTCTCTATCTTCTTTGTTTGCTTGTTTGTTTTGTTCTTTCTTTCTTTTTTCTTTCTTTCTCTCCTCCCACTCTCTTTACCCTTTTACTCTTTTTCCATCTCTTTGTCTCTCACTTTCTGCTTTCTATTGCTTTTTCTTTCTCTCTCTCTCTCTCTCTCTCCCCATTCTATCTTCCTCTCTCCTTTCCTTTCATTTTCTTTCCCTCTCCCTCTTCATCTTTCTCTCTTTCTCTCCTTTCCCCATCTCTATTTCTTTCTTTCTTTTTCTTTGTTTCTTTCTTTCTTTCTTTCTTTCTTTCTTTCTTTCTCACTCTCTCTCTCTGTCTCTCTCTCTTTCTCTCTTTTTCTCTCCTCATTCTATCTCTTCCTCTCTACCTTCCTCTCATTTTTTCCCTCTCTCATCTTTCTCTTTCTGTCCTTCCCCATCTCTCTATTTCTCTTTGTCCCTCTCTATCTTCTTTGTTTGTTTGTTTGCTTGTTTGTTTGTTTGATTCTTTCATTCTGTCTCTCTTCCCTCTTTGTTTCACTCTCTCCCCCTTTCTCTCTCCCTCTCTCTCTCTCTCTTTATTTACAGGGGGCTGATCTCACTCAGAGATAAAGTATTGGTGCTGGAGCCAGCACAGAAGCCCAACAGCACCATGCATCATATCTACAGGGGAGAACATCTCAACCTTACCCGAGGCACATGTGGACATGGACACAACATATCAAACGCTGCAGGGGTCCCAGACACTCTAGGGTCTCTCTTCAGCTCACACAGCACGCTCCTAAGGGTAAGCTACACAAACCGTTAAAGGGACCATATCAGTGGAAAAAAATTGCCTTGCATTTTTGAAACGGATTTGATGTAATATGTAAACATATCATTCACTCCCTGCCCATATACGGTAAATACTGCAATATAAATAAACACTTTTGAACTCATTGTTTTTGTGATGTCACAAAAATCATTACAATTACATGCATCCATCTATTCAGCCTAAGCAGGTAATATGTAGAATATGCAAAAGAAATATAGAATATGGGCCCATTTTACACTATGGCCTTATGTGGGTTCACATAAGGAAATAGCATCACATTATTTTTTGATGATTTAGCAAGAATATTTCTCACTATGAATATTTCTCACTGTTTACAATGCACATTAATAGAAACTGAATATGAAATGAGTGAGTATCTGCAATGTATAATCCTCAAACAGAATGAAGTTCACTGCCGGGGTGCTTTGGCAAATGTCACAGTTATTACTTCATAGTTCAAACAAGCAGTAATGCTCTGCTGAAGGCCTTGCAGCCAAAACATTTATGAGCTGATTTTTTAAATTATGATACAGAAAGTGATGTGTGCAATTCCTTTCATTTCTTTATGCTAAAAATGGGGCACAACGTCCAAATATAATATTTTCCTGGAAATATACATGCATGTGAAGGGACTGAGGGTGGTTTCAACTGAGCAGTGGTTGCCTTTGATTCTTTCTGTGCAGTTAGTAAATGGAAACACTGTAATCGTTCATGAAACATTAACATGAGAAATCAGATGGGTCAGATGGGAGCCTGATTTTTACTGGCCAGATATATGCATATTGTGTAAATTAAGAGTAAACGATGATGTTATAGGACATTTTTTCATGTGTGTTTCTCTAGTCATGCACAGAGCAGATCTGACAGACCAGTGACCTAATTTAATTTGTCTAGTTTAACAGACTATATAAATTAATCTGCATTTGTTGCTGTAACCATGGAGGTTTGTAGCACACTGGCTTTGCCTGGGATCATGAATTACATTTTTAGTTTTGTTTTACAAAAGTCACCAGAAGACCATCCTCTATGTACCTCACAGGACCTTCAGTGTAGTCTATTAAAGCAATAAGCCACGAGAGGCCGTGGGTTCTCGATTTTGTCACTGGAAGGGTGTTCTTAAAACTCCCTTCCCTGTGCCAAGAAATGTAGCTCCTTTATAGTATGGTATCGTTGCCAAGCAACCATGGGCCCCTGAATGAGGAGAACGTTCAGTTGCCCACTGCTGTATATTGCGGTCATTTTATTATTTTAACTTTTTTTTTACCTTCGCTTTATATTTACTTTTAAATTACCACCATGAGTCTTATTTAGCACCAATCCAGCGGCGTCGCTCTTCTCACGCTGGGGCTGAATCTCAAATGGTTCCCTGCTCCCTACATAGTGCACTATATTGGAATTTAAATACTGGATCCTGCACCCAACGGGGCAAATATAGACAAGAAATAGTCATTTGGTACTCAGCCACATCCATACTCGACAAACAATGTACTATTTGGCTATAGAGGCCAGAATTTCTAAACTTTCATAGCACACTATTTAGGGAAAACGGAGTCGTTTGGGATTCAGCCTGGGTTTGACGCTACATCTGACCGAATACCACACACATTAAGCCAATCAGTTTTTAGGACCGTAACTATCCATTTTATAGTCAGTTTCATCATTAATTCTTCGATATCAGCTGTGTTATCTCTGTATATGGGGTGAAATGGAGTACAACTGTGTCTTTAGGCTGCGTTTCATTCACCCTCCTTTATAATACCACATACATTAAGTGGCTATGGTTTAACACACGGGGGATAGCTCTATTATTAACGGTATAAGCCCATACTTCATCTTTAACTATTGCGTTTTAGTACTTGGCTCCATATCAGCACTGAGTGACTGTAGATACATAAGTGCACCTGATTTATCCATATCCGTTCTTCTAGTGGCAATATGTTGTATCTAAGTGGTCCACGATGGCAGTAGGACCCATTTTATTAGCAAACTGAATCCATAACTGGCTATATGAGCTTCAAACTGGTGCTGCAATGCATGGATGAAAAGAGAAAGATAAGTTCATGGATGTTAAAATTGCTTAGAAGTATTTTTGTCTCTGTTAATATGTCATACATTGAGGACCCCATATGCTGACCTTGTGGAAGGACAGAAAAACCTTGTGAACTAGTCTTACTTTTCAGACTGAGACTGGGGGGGGGGTCCAATTTGTTCCTAGTTTTGTCCAACTGAGCATTAACAGCCAGGTTCCTAATACAGTAGATAAGCACTGAGATGGGTTAATGTGACAGGCATTGTGCTGGTTGAATGCAGATTGTTAGAAAGGGGCTGGAGATTGGCGTGATGACTCAGGCTCAGCTTCTAATGTCTGTCAGGAGCACAATGCCCAGCAGGGCTTTCACAGAGCCGGCCATTTGTGGGATTTACGACGAAAGGTTTATCCCCTTTTTTCTCCCCCTCACGTACAAACACACCTAAAGGCGCTGATTTCTGTGCAGACCTCTCTTTCACCTCTAGCAAATGTCACAGCTCTGAAACAAAGAGACATTTTCAGGTTTTGTTCACGCAGCGCTGTCAGCCTCTGTCGTACAGACACAGCTGTGGTGGAATTTAGGCGTGCTAAGAGCAGCAATCACAGTCACTCTCAATGCAAAAGGTGTCATGGATGCTTTTATACCCATTCAATAGATTAGTCACTGAAACAAAAAGGAATGGTGGCTTTTCAAAGAGTGATATTAGTCCAGAGTGTACAAAGGCATTCAAAGGGCATCAAAACTCAGAGGGCAGCCTGTAGTTTTCCAGTCTTCTGTTCAATTTGATTCTTATAAAAGGGCCCGTATCATTTTTCTTGCTTTTTAAGTAAAAATTTGATGTAGGATGTAAACACTTTTAAAGTTCTACTCCAGACTTCAGACTGCTAATGGAGACTAAACTGCAAATCAGCATGTTTTGAATTTCTCGTATTTGCGATGTGGCAAACCCTTTTACATATCGTCCCTGTCCAAAGAAAAACATTTATTCTTTCATGTTGAATGGACCACTAGCAATGCTCTAAAAATACTTGGATAAAATATCTTTACATTGACTTACATTGAAAGTAAAGAATGTTTTTGACCTCTCCTGTAAAGTTACCATTTTGGAGATACTTCTTTTCTTTGGACAGCGACGATATACCCACCTATTCTGCCTACAGCAGTTTAGCCCCACCCATTGACAATGAAGCTATAAGTAGTGTTTCATCTGGATTTCCTTTTTGAATGGGACACAAAACAAGGCAGCCAATCAGAAAAGAGTAAATATGCATACCAGTCTTAAAGACACAGTTATATCATTACAGAATTGTCATGTAAAACTTAATTATGCCTGGTTTTGGTACATAAACCCACACATCATAAAAAACAAAACTAGGAAAGTAGTAACATGAAGGCCTTTTAACTTGTCCATCCCCAAAGGTAGAGGTTTCTTTGTACATGCAGTTCTGTATGTCTGCTTAGCCCAACCATTATACAAATTCTGATACTGGCTCTGTAGCTGGCTCTAAGTTTCATGTTCCAGCACACCTGATTAATGTTTTGAATGGTTTTACAAATTGCTGGTTAACTCAGATAGGGAAAACACTGAAGTACTGTAGTCCTCTTGGACTAAACTTGAGTGATCTGCCTCTTTTAAAGCAGCTCTAAACTTTTTTTCACCTATGCAGTGCACGGATCTTCGCTAACAAAGCTTCTGTGACAAAGCTTGGCCCCATGTTGAGGCTTGGATAGCTGTAAGGTGCACAGTGGGACTATAAGATGGCTGTAGTAGATGTGATTTATGTAGCGTAACATCCCTCTGTTAGCCAGAGTCCCAGAGTCAAGATAGTCAAAGATACAGAGTCAAAAGCTTGAGAGTTCAGTTCACAGTGCAAGATTTGGCCAAGGATGGAGAACATATGAGAACATCAACACAGTGGTTCACCTCATCCTGTTTGAACTCAAAGTGACTGGAGCAACGTTGGGTTAATATCTGCACTCGGCCCCTAAGATATAGTGTGTGTGTGTGTGTGTGTGTGTATATATATACTTTTATAGATATCAACATGCCATACATTGTTAGAAACAACTTATTTGAGATTACTAATCAACTCAAAATGATTTGAGGCAAAAAATTGATAATTCAAGCATGTGGTTTGCACATTGCTATTTATGGGTTGTAATCTCAGCCTCAAATGCTCTGCCCACACATACACGGAGGGTCTGATCGCTACAGTAAGCTAAGCTACACTCAGAAATAAAGGTATAAAACTGTCACTGGAGCAGTACGCCTCTTGTCACTGGGCTCGTACCTTCAAGGGTGCATCTCAGTACCTTTAGTCAGTGAACATAATTGTACCATAATCCATTGAAATTATATTTTCTAAATTGTATTGACTCCACACACCCCGTCTCGTCTCCAGGCTTTTTATTTTATTGTTCTGTTTTAAAACATTAGATTATGAAAAGGTACAAATATGTACTTTTTACCTGGGAAAAACATATTTAAAGTACACAATTGGACCCTAAAAACACTGTTGTACCTTTGAGGGAACATTTACATTGTTTGTACCTTGATGAACGAAAAATATACCTGCACAGCACCTTTATTTCTAACAGTATACATTCTACATACTTGCTATCCAAACTGAATGCTAGCCAGTCCTTTCAAGTTATTTTGCCTCGTTCCTTTAAACACTGCATTTACTTATTTTAGTGCATGCAGCACTTTTTTTGTCTGCATGAGACTGAAAGTTTTTTCTGTAATGAAAGATTTGTTTAGGAAAGCCTGTTAGGATTTAATACCAAACAACACATTCTTTTACTTATGTAATAAATGTTGATCTTTAAATGTATCATATGAACTGCTTTAGCAAGACTGTGTGTATAAAAAGGGTCAATATAAGAAAACCTTGTGGTAAATGATGTGCATCAACATCATTTCTTTAAGCATCACAAAAATAAATTCAATATTTAGTGTCATCTTTTGGAGCTGTTGAATTGAAGTGTTCACAGAAAAGGATTGCAAGGCAAAGATGATGACCGTTGTGTTTCAACCCACCAAGGACACGAAGGACAATCCCGAACAGCTCTTTCAGTGGAAATCCCATTCACTGAAGAGTTTGGGATTATAACCTCCACAGCTTTGAGAAGATAGACAGTGCTTTTGGGTTGGAGCTCTTTAGAAAATACCTTTAAGTTTTTAGTTCATGCTTTACATGTTTTATTCAGTCTGTCCTTCTGTGCAATGCATTGAAAATGTGCACCAGGTCTCTCATATTTATCCTTCATTTTCCCTTCTTGCTTCTTCCATTTTCCTTCCTTTCCTTTTTCTCCTTCTCCTTCTCCTTCTGTTTCTTTCTATTTCTTTTTCCTCCCTCCCTCTGTCCTCTCTCTCCTTTCTTTCATTCTGCAGCACAAGAGACATGCCCAGAGCAACACTAAATATGTAGAGCTGATCATTGTGGCAGACAACCGTGAGGTAGGTAACCAAAAATACTCCTCAACCGTCTCTCTCTATCAGTCAAAGAGAAGCGCTCCACCTCCTCTGTAGAAAAAAGCAAAATCACCCTGCTCTGTCCGTGTGTTTTGGCAAAGACGTGAGAATGAAGAAGTGGTGTTGCTACAACGTCTTGACGCTTTGACCCTAAGGTCAGGGCTATGCACTCTGAACTCTTGTTAGGGTGCTAAAGGGAGGAGGCTTGGGTGGCAGATGTCAGTTTGGTGAAGCAGTGTAGTTTATTCAGTGGTTCACACTGCAGATGCTGGTCACTGGGGTGAAGGATTGTTTAAGTAGCACTTCAGGGTCATTACTCTGGAGTCAGACAGGAACAGAAGACCTCCAGCTGCAGCCACTTGACCCTTGTCCAATTTGTCTGTTTAAAACTGCCCCTTAGTAACTTTATGTCCTTTAAATGCAGTATTCAAAAATGTTTCTTTCCAAATGAGTTCCAGCTGAACCTGTCTGGAGGTACTTCTCTTTAAAGGGTGTATGTCATGGAATTTCCTCTTTTTTATAATAGAAGAGTTTGATGTGGCATGTATATGTTGTTAAGGTTCCAGACATTTGAGGAAACCGCCTGTTTTGAATTCATTGCATTGTTTTTGCAGTATCACAAAACTAACACATTCATATTTTACACATCCACCTATTCAACCTATAGCGGCTTAGCCCCACTCAGTCATAGTAATGTTATAAGAAGTTTTTAAGGTCACACTGCTTTTTCAATGAGGAATACAGGACAGCCAATCAAAACAGAGGTTATTTACAGTAGCCATATAGGTACAGTAACAAAAAATCCCTGTTCAGTTCTAAAGAATGAAGAGTGGTTGAAAAATGGTAATGTGAAAATGAATTATGACTATTTTGGGTACATAAAACTACATAAGTGTCATGTAGATCTCAGGGAAAAATATAAAATACAACAAAATGTTGGAAATGGGCTCTTTAAGTGAGTAGTCTTTTGATGCCTATTAAAACATTTTACCAAGTATTTAGGTATAGCTCTGCATAACAAGGTGCGAAATACAAGGGCTACAGGGAATTCTGGGACCCCCTAATTAACCTCTTGGACTGCCTGAATGTCTGAAAAATAAAAATTATAGAGGGGGTCCCTGAAAATAATTTTTTTTATGATGATATGCTGCCCGTTAGGTAAAAATAGCCACTCACTGTTTAGCCTGCTTCACCCACAAAACAGCTTCTGTCTTTGATAATCTTACCTAATGGGTGGCACTGTTGCAGATAGTTCACGAAGATGGTCCTTCATAGCCGAGCAACTGCAACTATGCCCAGGATACCTCTGAAAAACTTTACAATATGCTGCAGCACATCTGAAAACTTTGTGTTTGTTGGAAAGGGTGAATTTTTACCCATTTCCCAAACTGAAGACACAGGAAGAGATGTGCAGAATCTGAGTTGTTATTTGGAAGGCCGCATTATGAAACTAGAACATTTCCGAAAAAAGAATTGTTAAACCAAACATTTTGCTGCCAGTGAAGCTACCACCAGTGGAGCTGTGGAAAATAGTTTAGGAGCCAGCCAATGCTGGAGTAGCTAATTAGCATGAGACCCCCCTGAATACCAGGGGGTATTTCACACATTGCTGCACAACATTGAGTTCTAGTTGATGGATAATTCTTAAAACTTGTTGATGTTCAGGGAACGTACTAGATATTTAACTACATACTAGTTATTTAACTGAGTTAACTGGAGTTACTCTATTATTAACTAACTACTATGAATTATTTGATAACTACTATGAATTATTCAGTAACTATTATAAAAGTGATATATATTTATGTTATGTAGTTATAAGAATTAGAAGCAGAAGTGTGAATATATGGGGACATTTGGTGTTACATATGCAGCTGTAAGATACCTCACCAGTTATAACTTTAGGCTCTTTAGGCTGAGAGGAATATTGTGAAATAATAATAAAAATAATAATAATATATTATTATAATAATAGTAATAATACGTTTTTGGAACCACATTAGCAGCTGTGGTCAATTTCCGCTATGAGTCTCAACCCTTAGCTTGCAATACTCAAAAGGTAGTCATCATACAGAACATGGAAGAACCCTTTCCATGCTTTGATTCTGTGAAACCCCTTTTATGTTCCCTCGGCTGACGGCCCGAACAGCAAGCCCAGCATGTCCACTCTGCCAAAACATGGAGAACAACCTTAACATCTGTGCTGAACTGGAAAATCGTTTGCCTCATGTGACATTTACAAACGTCAATGTAGAAGAACATTTGAGCAGAGTAAAACATACAGCTTTCTGTCCCTCTTTGGTTTCAGTACCAGAAACAGGGCAAAGATGTGGAGAAAGTGAAGCAGAGACTGGCTGAGATTGCCAACTACGTGGACAAGGTAAACCTGACTGACATGCTACCATAGTTTATTTCAGTAGCTGCAATTCCAGTCTTGAAAGGCCCCAGCTGAAAAAATCAAATGCTTGATTTGCTTAAAAATGATATGTCAAGTGTTTCCACTCAACTATGTTGTGTAGCCTCTAAAATAGTTGATTGAGTAATATTTACGTAACGCAACACTATGTAGGATTTGGGGATTTGGAGATATGTGATTGCACGCAACATGCGAAAGAACGTTTTGTAAAGTTGGTTGCGCCTCGGATCCACACAAGCAGATGAATCTGACTTTTGTTAGAGTGCTGAAAGAGAGTTTGAAAAGAATTCAGTCAAAACTTGGTGAAAGACGTGTCTTCTGAGGATGTGAGTGAATTGTCTACTATTGTCATCGTATCTTCATCTGTATAATGTTGATTTTGCATTTGAGACCTAAACATTGAGTCTGACTTTCTTTTAGAGTCTGTGACATTAATACATAAAATCCTGAAACACTCCCACCAAATCTGTCCCAGTACCTCTGACTTTTAAATGATTATTTCAGGCTTTACAGGGCAACTCACAGCAGCGCACAACACACACACACACACACACACACACACACACACACACACCATGTTTTAGTGTGTTCTTCTTCTCTATACTCAGTAATGCAACAAAAAAATTACATAGTGCTGTTTGAAGAATTTCAATTAAATTACACAAAAGTGATTTGAGTAAATTTTAATAAAATAGACTCATTATTTTTGTATATTACCCAAAAATGAAATGTTGGATTTACTTATTGCTTGTTATTGTGGTTCCATGCAACTGCGTTAAGTAGCTTTAAAGATGCTCAATTGAGTAAGATGTACTCAGTGAAGTAATTAAACAACACAACCAGCTCAGTTTCACTGACTTACATTCATTTGTTTGGTAAAATCAATGAGAGAAAAACTGATAACAGAAAACCAACAACAGAGCGAGTGCACAGTTTGTTTCTAGCACACTATCAGGCCCCCCAGGGAAAAAGCTAAATTCTGCAGTGCTTTGCAGATCTATAAGGACTGGAATGGGCAAACTTTGACATATAGTATGAGAACTGTGTGTTGGTAATGGAGAACTGACACCGCTCATTCAGCTAAAAAACTTAACAAGGACATAGGAAGAGTATTCATTGAGGTGTCATTGATATTCTTCAAATAGAGACCAGTAGCCAGCACATTCTGCTAGTTGTACTTTGACTTTCATAGTGCTAACTTTTAATTCTCCATGAAGCTGAACTCTTCAGGATCTGTGTGGGTAGATGTGTCAGTTTAGGGAACCCTTTGGCTTCAGTACATAGAACTCTTGAATGATTAGCATCACTTTTCATAATGTTTTCCTTTAAGAAGTCCAGAACATAGTTTAATGCATCTGCTAATAGCTGGCTCTGTCTGTGCTATAGTTCTACAGGGCATTGAATATCCGTGTGGCTCTGGTGGGCTTGGAGGTGTGGAGTGACTCAGACAAATGTCCTGTCACCCAGGACCCTTTCACCACGCTGCACGAATTTCTGGACTGGAGGAAACTCAAGCTTTTACCACAGAGACCCCATGACAACGCTCAGCTCATCAGGTTAGGAGACAGGGGCTTAATCAGCTGCCATGGACATGACTTTTTAAGGACACAACAGTAAAATACATCTTTACAGCCTACATTTATACAGTACATCTTTTGTTAACTGAAGTGATGTTTTTAGGAATGCGTATGAATATTCAAAATACATTAAAAATGCTGATAGAGCCTATAACCACATAAACACGTTCTGCAAGCCTGTCCTACAATTACCAAAACAAGCCTGTGACTAAAGGATCTTTAGTGAACTTCTCTAAATGTTACAAGGAAACAGAACATGAAGTGGATATGCATGTTTTATCATGTTTTATCTCTCTCTTCCTCTCCACAGTGGTGTGTATTTCCAGGGCACCACTATTGGCATGGCTCCCATTATGAGCATGTGTACGGCTGAGCAGTCAGGCGGTATCGTCATGGTAAGGGGCATATCAATCATGTATTAAAAAAAGTTCATTATTTAGGTTAAATCTGAAAGACCTTTTTTGTATTTATTTTTTAGAGTATTGGACTGACTTATCCTAATATGACTTTCCATGCACATGCAAAATAAATGCTTTTCAAAATGGATAATGTACCCTAAATTAGGCTTTTTTGACAAAAAAAAATCTTTTTACAATCCTGTTTCCAAAAAAGTTGGGGTGCTGTGCAAAATGTAAATAAAAAGTAAATTCAACGATGTGCAAATCATTTAAACCCTATATTTAATTGGAAATAGGGCAAAGTTAGCATTTCAACAAATGTTGAAACTGAGAAATTTTATTGATTATTGAACAATATTTGCTCATTTTGAATTTGATGCCAGCAATATGTTTCAAAAAAGTTGGAACAGGGTCAACAAAAGACTGGTAAAGTTAAGTAATGCTAAAAAGAACATTGCAGAGAGGCATTGAGAAGTAAAGATAGAGAAGGGTTCACTACTCTGTGAAAGACTGCGCGATTTATCAATAACATTTCTCAGCGTAAAATAACAAAGAACTTCATCATATGGTTGATAGTATCATTAAAAGATTCAGAGCATCGGGATCAATCTCTGTATGCAAGAAACAAGGCCTAAAACCAATTTTCGCTGTCTGTGATCTTCGGGCCCTCAGGGTGGTACTGCATTAAAAACAGACACGATTCTGTAGTGGAAATCACTCAGGAATATTTGTCTGTGAGCACAGTTCATCACTGCATCCACAAATGCAAGTTAAAACTCTACCAGCCAAAGAAGAAACTGTGTAAAAACAGGATCCAGAAACACCGCCGCCTTCTCTGGGCCCAAGCTCATTTAAGATGGAGTGACGTGAAGTGAAAAAGTGCCCTGTGGACTGATGGGTCAAAATTTGAAATTAGTTTTGGAAATCATGTAACCCATGTCCACCAGGCTAAAGAGGAGAGGGACCACCTGGCTTATTATCAGTGCACAGTTCAAAAGCCAGCATCTGTGATGGTATGAGTGTGCATTAGTGCACATGGCATGGGTGACTTGCACTTGACAATGATTTGTACATCATTGCATTCTGTATCTATTTACATTTACATTATTTACATGCACAGCATCCCAGCTTTTTTGGAGAAGGGGATGTAGTGTCAATGGGATTTTGCCATTTTTGTAAGAAAGTTTTCCAATGAGTACACCGAGCATGTGAAGGTCAATGATTTGCTTTTTTTTACTTATTGAACTGCAATTCTTCTGTAATTTTTTTCTCTCAATGTTGTCCTAGCCAGTTGAAAGTATATAGAAATTATATTCATACTTCAATTATTAACATGAAGACCTCTGTACTGTTCTACTGTTCCCCACCCTGCTATGCCTGCTGAAAGCATTATGTCACTGTCCTCCAAAGATACTCCCCATAAATTACCCAAATGTATCGATTACATGAGACACGGCTGTTACTTTCTAATGAGGCAGAACAAACGATGGGTCGGCAGGGGAAACATCATATCCACCCGAGAGGCAGAAAGCACTGTAAGCTCGGTTCTGGGAGTGATTAGTGATGAGGCTACAGCTGTGGAATGAAACGTTGCCCCTCTTCTTATTCCAGCCCTTTATTAAGTCATTAGAAGTCGTCAGTTCTAGAATGGCATTGCCAATTCCGGAATCTCTCTTTCTCTGGTTACTCCTTGTTCCGGAATGTCGCGGATGGTTGTGGTGGCTTTGTGCATAGTGCAGATGCTAAGGCTTTGGCAGGTTGATTAAAGATGCGAGCGGCGTGTCCGGACGCTGAGCGATGGCTCTGCCGGCCTCCTCCATTACAGATCAACATGGCTCAACACTGCCATTAGTCTCAATCCCCCCCTATTTTTCCCTCCTGCTGCCTGCAAGAAACCAGAGTGCTCTCGGGGGCCCTGGAAAGGGAGCCACACTGGACTGAATACAATGAGACCCAATGAGTGATGTCTCTGCAGCTTCCATTGCCTAGCATTAGAAATTAGGGAAAACATCCATATTCAACAGAGCAGAATGATATCAAAGGTTTATATAAACTGTGTGTTTTCTACATTGACTCGTTCAGCGGATGCTCTCTCCGTCCATGTTTTAGCCATTTGCTAACTTTTTTGCAGACTTTCATGGCATAGTTTGTTTTAGCTATTTGACTGAATGGCATCACTGCTGATGTAAACAGTATTTCACCAAAGGTTGTGATGTTCTGTGATCTCACAGACATCATTTTTTCTTATTAGAAGAGTTATTTTAAACAAAAAATCCTCCTGAGGTCATTTAACCATGAAGCTGAACATAAACACAGGGAGAACACATTCTCCACATAGAGACCAGAATCAGGAGATTTTGGCAGTTGGGAGGAATAAGTTAACACATCCTCTACCTGTACAGAGAACACACTTCTGCACATTTTAATGCACAATTACTGTCTATTTGCCTAAAAATGCCAAGCATATATAAGCAGAAGCCATTTTATGCTTTATTTTCTTCTAATATGTTAAACTCAGAAAGAAATGCCATATATCAGTTTGTTTCCTGTAAAGGATGTGGTTTCAGGTTAACACATCCTCTATGTTGATTAGAAAATCAACAAAACATATAATTTGACCAGTAGTGCTCAAACTTTTGCATGTAACGGTTGGTTGATGCACTTGTTTATTTGTGCATGCGTGCAGTGATACTTAGAAAGCTAACAGTTGGTTTTACTACATAAAATACTTAAATAATTAGCATTATTTAACAGTTATTTTATACAAATGAAAGAAACCCCTTTAAGAAGTGAAGAAAGTTGACCATCAGAGTTGTGTGTATTTTGACATGTCTATGAAAGATAAGTGATTTTTTTCTGGTAGAAGTGTTTGTTCTGCTGTTTTCAGCTCAGCGGGGTGACATGTTGAACTCTGCACATATGGTAGTGCAGGGGTTCCCAAACTTTTTTATACCTGGACCCACATGTACAAGTAGCATGTAAACAAGACTCATCAAATAATTCCTTGTTTTCAGCCCACTGTTATTCAGTATCACTGTTCTTTACATCACTTTTCACAACAGTCAACATGATAAAAGAATGAAACATATATAGGCCTACACTAATCCACATACTCATTGAGACTGAGGAATAGAGCATAGTAAAATAACAACAGTAACAGTCATTCATACACTCAGCTTTTACTTTCACTGTGTGATGGTGTAAGTATGTCTTAAAGGAATCCTTTCGCTCCATTAATACAGTTTTCTGTTCTTTTATAGGTACAGAAAATGTAAAATAATATCTGTGGTAATCTATTGTGTGATACAGATGCAGAAGATAGAGACTAGATATGAAAAATGGTGGAGCATTCCTTTAAGAATTACTCACCTGCAGTGCATGACCTGGAAAGGGAGATACCTCCAACCCCCCATATTAATCATATGCATAATTCCTCCTGTCTCCTGTCTCATGCTTTAGTATCAAATACTGCCTTAACAGAACAGAGCTAAAGCTGACAGCTGGACAACCGTCTGCTCTCTCCAACTCATAAACTCTCTGTTTCATCTGCTTCTCTCCTCACTCCAAGTTATTTAACATTATTCTCTTTATGAATCTCTCACACTTTTCTCTTTCGTTCTCACTCTGTCTCACGCTTTCTCTCTCTCTTTCTTTCTAGCTCTTTGGAGAAATTCTCTCATTTTACTGAATTGCAAAAACTGAAATCGTGTTCTCTGTGGATTAAAAAAATAGAAACTGAAATATGCTATTTGCAAAAATATTCAATCCTATGCCATATAAGGCCTAATCTATGAAACACTTGCTTTAATTGGCATACAGTTGCCTTCTAATAGTGAGTCAAGGGATGAATATTCAGATTGTGAGTCTGAAGAACTGCTGTGAAAATGAAGACTAAAGAAGACTAAAACATAAAAGGAAATAAAATGCAGACATTAAGATAAGGGAAAGATTACTGGACAGTATGAGTTTGAATGCCCCTGTATGATCTGTTGATTCAATGATTAGGAAATGGAAGCTACATCAGACCACACTGCCTAGAAAAGGTCAGTACTGACAACATTCTCCATGAAACAAGAAGGAGAAGAGGAAAGTCATGACTTCTTTGAAGGAGCTCTAAAGTAGTAGTAAGCAAAGTGAGGGTGCAGCAGACAAGCTCTCGATATGATGCCAGCATGTATGAGGGGAGAGGTGGCACAAAAGAAACAGCTACTCAAAAAGAACGATATCTGGGGCTACCAGAAGGCATGATAGTGACCGAAGTGTGATGTGGGAAAAGAGCTTGTGGTCAAATGATGTAACAACTGGGAGCTTGAGGCAGATGGATGGAAGCACAAGACATGATTATTAGTATAAATCCAATGATCAGCATAATCTACAGCGGAGGGGGCATATAGGCCTTCAGGGTCAGCAACGGGTAATCCATAATCAAAGAAAACAAGGTGGAACAGGTCAGAATTAGAACAGAACAGAACATAGTAAACTAAGAACAGGATATAGAGAGCACTAAAGAAATCAAGGGATTAGAAAGAAGGAAGCACCCAGAAGGAAATACAGGAACTCAGGAACATAGCTTGGAATTGTACAGACAATAATGCATAAAAGACTTTGCAACACAGTCAGTGTGGTTTATACAAATAACTTAACAAGAACCAGGTGAACACAATGAGTAGGAGGAAATAAGGCAGAGTCAAAATCATTCCAAATAGGTTGTTTGTGCTTTTTAACCAATTTGACCGAGGGTGTTTGTGTAGTGTTCGTTCAAACATTCGTTCATTCATTCAGAAAAAAAAAATTCAAAGGAACGAATGGGAGAATGGTCAACATCTTGAAACTGAGTCATTCCACGTACATATTAAAAACCTATGTCTCTTATTCCACCACAGTCAGTATACACTCTTACTATATCATACACTCTTTACTAAACTATACTACTGTTACACAATACTACTTATGTCATCATTATTCGAGTATGTTAGCAACACCTTAGCAACCACCAAACAACCACCAAGTAGCACCATAACAACAAGCTGGAATGCCATAGCAAGCTTGTAGCAACACCATAGCAGCTACCTAGAATCACTATATAAACGCAAATAAGTTATCAGAAACAGTCAGCAGTGTTCTGCAACTGGTTTAACATTTGAAGTGTTATTAGCTGACTTTGTCAAGCCAACTTAGTTTGTTTATTAGTTATAATTAAAGTTGTTTGTTCACAAACAACTGTCTAGTTATAATCTTATTTAATTAAAGTAGTGTTAGGAGTTATGCCTAAGCATTTCTTGTCTGAGTGCGGAAACCCCAGCCTCCAGAGTACAGGGAGTAACAAATCTCTCTAAGCAGGTGGTCTCTTTAAGAGGTCCACATTACTTCACGTGAATCCCTGTGCAATAATTAAAAACATGGTTTAATAAGTTACTAGGGTCCCTCACTGCTGAAAGTATGTTTAGTTGTTGTTCAAAATAAGCACATTATGGAGAGACACACCTTGTAGATCTTCAGACACGTTTGAACACTGTAAGTCTCATCCTCTTTGAGGGGATCTATTCTAAAAAGGGATGTGTAATTTCGTAAAACTTTTTTTTACAAATTGAAAACTGGAAGATTTAGATTAAAAAAACTGTCTCTAAAATGTAATTTGTGTCAAAGATCACTGTAATTATCATATTGTTCACCTCATTAAATCACAGCCTGCTGTGAGATCTAGAGGATAAAACAATGTAACACTAAAAAAAATAAAAATGTCACACCTTAATAAAAAATAATATTTTAAAAGGCATATTGAAGTACATATACTGAACACATATATAATCACTGCCACAACAAACCTTGTGTCTCCATTTTTGAATTTGAAAGCATCAACTGATGAGTGATGGACCAAAAGAAATGCTCCAAAATTACTTGAACAACAATCTTGTTCCATAAACTTCCATTCAAAGTTAACTTTTTTTTCCTTCACCTGTAAAGTTAACATTTTGGAGATACAGGTTTTTATTCCGACAGTGACGGAATTCTACATGTGTAGGTACGTGTGTGTGTGTGTGTGTGTGTGTGTGTGTGTGTGTGCATCTATATATTTCTTTCCTCTTTTCTCTCTCTCCCTCCATCTGTTCCATTCCTTTCTCAGTCTGTGTGTGAAGGTCAGCTGTTTTAGTGAAATTATATTGTCCTCATTTCACTGAGCAACACATCTGCTGTGGACCAGCTGCCTGTGGCTAACACCAGCATTAGTCCGACTGGTGTCTGCTCACAGACACACATCCAGCCCTGCATCATGTATATAAATCTGCACCCACATTAACGCGGGTACACAGATACACATCTCTTCCTCAGAGTGCTGCTACACAACTTAGCCACTTGCTGAGGGGGAGACTCAAACACAGTGTTATATAGTACATTCAGTTGTGGCAGCATTTAGCACTTAGATAAACCGCACAGTCCTGACTTGTGGTTCTCTAAATGGGTTTGTGGATAAGTAATTACATAGGCTGTTAGTGCTTGTGCTTTATCGATTAGTCCCCTCATGTGAAACAACACTTTGCTGTTTTCTGTGGAAAGAAAACAAATGCACATGTGGAGATGTTGGCAAGAATCTAATCTTAGGAAGGCAGCTGGAGTGTAATTGACCCTGACCCGTATACCAGTGCGAAGGCAGGAGAGTAATTGGGTTTACTTGTGTGGAAATGAAATTGATCACTCTTATGAAAGTGTGTCACTGCTGTTTTTGGTGCCATGCTGTGAAGATGGTGATTTATTTGTGAGCACGTGCGGATGCAATTAACAGCGACTCTCACTTTGTCTTTTGCTTTCTCTCTCTCTTTTTTCTGTCTCTCTCTCAGGACCACTCTGATAACCCCCTTGGAGCTGCAGTTACTCTGGCCCATGAACTAGGACACAACTTTGGAATGAACCATGACACACCAGAGCGGGGGTGTGGTTGCAGGGTGACGGCAGACAGAGGCGGCTGCATCATGACACCATCTACTGGGTAAGTCATTCTAAGGGTATAATCATCTAATACGCATCTTGATCTGTCAGTTAGTCCACTTTCAGCTGTGATTTCACTAATGAGCTCCCCTCTTGAACAAGGAAAGGGTGATTTTAATCATTATGTTTCCTTGTTTCTCAAGGAGGGGAGCTCATTAGTGAAATCAGGGGGTGCCGTTCAGGGCTGGAGCATATAATAATAGTATTACTGTGATTATTTTTAATATATTCATATATCAATCAGGCAAATTAGAGCATAAAAAAGCAAGCAGTAGAAATTAACCTCAAAAATTGTTGTACACAACCCCATTTCAAGCCCATTAAATGCTTACAGGAAGAGAATTTTAACAAACAAATATTAATCACATTTAAATGGAATACAAATAACCATAGAAAACAAGAACTCTAAAATTTATACCTAAAGGTAGCCAGAAAAAATGTATTGTTTTCTTCTGACTTTTTCAAACACATAGCTGTTGCATTCTATACATGTTTTTTAGATATCCAAATGACTATTACATTACAACATTCAAGGCGAAGCATGAGTCAGAGATTTAGTAATCTGCAGTAAAAGGTGGGGTCTGACTTTGGCAATATGTGTAAGACAAAAGTGGAACTTCAGAATCAACATTCTTAATTTCATGCTTCTGAGGAATCTGAGAAATCATGCATTGTGGTTCACTTAACTAGAATGCAAGAATTTATTTTATTACTGGAAAATTTTATCTGGTTTATGATGCTAGAAGAACAGTTGACAATCCAATCCAGACCTCCAGTGTCGTTTATTTGTATGTGTACTGTATACATAGCTATGGTATGACCCATTGGCTGTACATACAAAGAGAATAAGAGGGGACCAAATCCAGATCCTTGGAGTACACCATAAAGTCATGCTTCACAAAGACCAGGTCAACAAGACCAACAAATATTGTCTTTTTGTTCAACATGTGGCAAACCATTTTAGAGCCGTTCTAGAAATGAATACTATTCCAGCACTGTGGCCTTTCATAAACCAGGCTGAAAATGTGCAGATATACCAGATACGCCCGCCATTCAGGAAGTCATATAACTGTTTCAGTTATACTTTTATTTCTAGAATTGTACTTTAAAAAGGGAACTTGGTTTTGTGTTACCCAGAGCTGATGGATTTAGGTTATGATTCTTGAATAGTGGTCTAAAATACAGAAGTATTTTTTGGGAAAATGTCAGTGCCTAATGAGTAGTTAGTATTTCCAATGCATCTGAACCCATAAGGCTATCAAAAATGTGTTTAAAAAAGACCATAAGAATTTTATCCTGAACACTATTCTACATAGCTTGGCCTCACTTATTTTGCTTAAAGCATCCATAGCATTTTGTGGGCAACAGACTACAGGATTGGTTTTGTTTGTTTTATATATAAGATTTAATATCAATTATCTTTTTAAAAAAACTATCCAAATGGTCACCTGGAATCAATTTAAAAACTGGTCAAATATTCTAAGGGTTGTTTTTAACAATATTAAAATGTACCACAGTGGTGTTGCAGACATCAACATATTTCTTATACATCTCATACTGGATTATTACACACTTAAAAAAGAGGGTTCTTTAGTAAAGAAAATGGTTTTATATAGAGCCATAAACACTCAAAGAACCGTTTGCATGATTAAAGGTTTTTTTTGCATCATGAAAAGGTTCTTCAGATTTATGGAGAATGTGCTGAAGATGGCTTTTTGAAAAGGGTTCTATATAGTACCAAAAGGGTTCTTCTACCGTTAGGATGTCAAGCTTGTAACAATAGCAGAACCCTTTTTGGTGCTATATAGAACCATATATAACACATCCTCCATCAATCTGAAGAACGCTTTCACAATGCAAAGAACCCTTTAATCATGCAAAGGGTTCTTTGAGTGTTCATGGTTCTATATAGAACTATTTTCTTTACTATGGAACTCTTGAAGACAGTGTGTAGTTACTCTCCTTTTTTGCTCATTCTACTTTACAGCAGTTTCTTCTGAGAGATCCCTGTTTTAGAAATTACGTAACTTTACAGCCTGAGGTGTTGACAACATAATTAAAATTGCTGGTTAAGAGAATCCTATTATAGTCTCTGAAGCACATTGACAATTATTCTGAGAAGTTAGTGGGTGACAGAAAGCTAGGAGCAGTTTCAGTGGGAGACTTTGTCTCTTTGTAATTAAAGTTGTCAAAGCTGTCAATCCGTTTGTCATTCCACTGTCACAAACTTGTCTATCCAAGGCTGGATTAGCTCTGATGTAAACATCCAGTGTTGCTATTTTTATTGCCTGTTTTTCAGTGATGCAAAGCAAAACTAGTAAAATGGCATTAAATAGAAAACATAGATCAGGATAGCAAGATAAGACTAAATGAAACTGACTAAAACCAAATAGCCTGTCAAGCGATTTAACTAAAAAAAAATAAAATGATTAAATGCAGCCTGTACCATGCTTAATTTTCCTTTTTTTCTGGGTCTGACTATTAGGGTTTAGCTAGCGCAGACAACTACGTCACCAGTCCCAGCCTCATTACACTCTAATGAGCTCCATTTGGTCAGCTGAGCCCAACCACAAGGCCAGCCACACTAGCCTTTAGCTAAGGCCTCATTATCCTGGCTCCAATTGACCTACACCCCAGATTAAGGCTAAGTCACTACATCAGCATTGATGGCTATCATATGTCAACATTTGGACACATGTAATGTGTTGCTAATTTGTTTTCTGTCATGTGCTGTGAGGTAGAGGGGATGTTAAATGTACGGAGCACTAATTTACAACTAAACTCTGACAGGCAGCTGTTCAGTCAGCTTTATAGCCATGCTGTGAGGATATTTCAGGACAGGAAATACACCACAGGAGGGAGACTTGTATAGGTTGTAAATATGAATGAATCCTAAATAGATGGTGAAGATATGTGTGAGTAGACAATGGATATTAAACACTGAACATAATTCATTGTGACGGGCAGTTAAATCATACATGTACACATGATGTCGGCATTACTTTTCCATCCGTTCCCATAGGCTGCAAGTGTCCTCATTTGTCTGTGCACTCTCATCTGTTACTCAGGTGCCTTTTATGCTGGTGGGACTGGGATTTAGTTAGCAACAGAAGCTGATCCTAGTTCAGCCTTTTTGCTCTGAGCATATAAGAAAGGTTCACCATGCTCTAGGCTAGGGAGTACATGGGGGTAAGGATATTTCTAGAGCTGACTTTCAAAGATGTTGGTGTAATGGAATTCTATAAGGAAGTCTGCTGACTGTATTTCAGAATGCTTCACCTATTATGAGGCAAAGTAATGTCAGCATGTTGGAACTTGGGAGGTAAAGACTTAAAATTCTAATTTATTTTGTTAGTATTATAATAATATTATAGTTAATATTATATAATATTATAATATTATATTATAGTTACACTTTAACAGCACATGTAACAACAGTTTAACTGCTGTTGTGATGTTTTCACTGTTACAAATGGATTACAGCTTATGTAAATACACATGCCTTAGCTACAGTTTGTACTCGTGTAACTACACAAGTGTATCTTGAAAGTTATGACCACATATATCTCTTATGTAATTACACGTGTAAAGTGAAGTGCTCTTTTTCCAGCAAGATCGATAACAGGAGGTGTGTAATTACCTCCAGTGGGGTCCTCTCTAAGACCACTGGAGAAAATACATCTATTTTGCATTTCTTTCTAATTTAATATAACTTTTTTGCTTTAATGACGGCGTGTTCTCAAGCTGGCATGGAGTCCACAAGTTTGTGCAAAAGCCCCTGATCAAATCCACCTGAGGGTTATCTGAATATGAGTTTCAGTGGAAGGAATAATAAACTAATCTGAGCTTTTTGTAAAAAGGCACAGAGACCTAGGAATTTTGCAGAATTCCAAATATTTAATATTTTTATTCATGTTTAAATAAAAAAGTACCAGATTTTCAATGTGATAGTGTTCTTGTTTTATGAAATGGTAACTTATCCACAATACATGAGATAATAATTAATATACTGTTACAAATGCTGTTGCCATCAAAATACACTTGTGTAATTACATGAGTAAAATCTGATGTTGATACACATGTATTTACTGAAGGTGTAGTGATGTAATCCATATGTAACAGAGTGCATCGCCACTAGTTACATTGTTATTGCATGTGTTGTTAATATGTGATTAAACAGTTGTCAGTTACACTTGATCTAAAGTGAGACCCATTTACCGTGTTGAAGAGTTCACTCCCAGATCAGGTGTGGTCTGGGCTGAAGCTGAAGTCTGCAGGAAGGTAGATATTCAAGAGAAATGCCTCCGTTTTAAGCCATTTTCACACAAAATGGAAAATGTTAATTCTGCTATTTTTAATTGCAGAATTTACCTCTAAATGCTTTGATCATTTTTTTGAGAAAACAGATGTATAGAAATGTACTTCAGACTTTGGTAACATCTTATTTTTGAGCAAATGTTTCTGACATCTAACATAAGCTGTTAATGATGTGAGTTCCAGAGGCTGAGGCAGCATTGCAGAGCTGCCTTAACACATTTGATGTGCTACTTCAACCAACGTAAGGCTTTTTATTACAGCCACTGGAGCATGTGGTTTAACCCCTTTACACAGCAGCCATGAAGGGCAATTTCTGCCTGCTTTAGAGAAACTACACTTTTAAAGATAAAGGTGCCAGGAAGGATTCTGTACACAATGGACAAACTGTTTTTGGTTCCCTAAAGAATCTTTCACTGGGTGGTTCTTTAGAAAACTTTTAGTAAATGAGATGTATGAGTGTGAACAACCTTTAAAAAGTTTACAGAAAGTTTAAAGAACCTCACATAATAGGAAGAACTCTTAAATTGAAAAAGACCCTTTAGATTATGTGAATGTTCTTTGTACCAAGGTTCTTCACAATCACACATCTCATTTACACACTTGGTTCTTTAGGGAAGTAAAATGATTTCTCTATGGCGTCACTCCAAGGCACTTTTTTTAAAGAGTGTATGCATTTTTTTCTTC